TAAGAAGAAAAACAAATGCTATATATCCGTTTGTAAGGTTATCTGTGCAAGTTACGAATAATCCACTCGTGAATGATTTTTTTAACGGTTCAACTTTTTACTAACTAATAAAATATTCGTTCGATACTTGATATTCCCATCCGATATGTTTTATTTTATATATCGGATTTATATCATGGGACCTTATTATATTAATTTATTTACAACAAAAATGAAATCGTGATAACAAATATTATTTTGACAAATGTCATATACCTAAAATTATTTTCAGTTCTTAGAATAGAAGCTTCTAACATATATTTTAACCTATATTCACAAATTCTCTCTTACTATAACCAATCTCTTCAATCTTCATAAAATATTATAACATTAACAATAACAATATTAGCACGTATTCTACAGCTTCGAACCCCATAATATTAATCATAGTTCTCTTCCAACTACTCAACACCTCATCATCTCGATGCTAACTACACTTACTGTATAATCCTACCTTCAAACTCACTATTTATACAGACTCTCTCAATATCAACATATAACAAGTAAACTAAAAGTTATAAATTTCTCACCTGTGCTAAGATTTTATCACATCATTTCAACCTTGAAACCTTCAGTCACACTCTGGTGACATCAACAACGATCAGGATGACGCTTCCAGGAACAGAAGATAATAGATGGAACGAAACTTCCACGTTTCACCCACAATAATAGATGATTCACGTTTATCTAACATTTGTTATTGGAATAAACAAATTCCCATTGAATAAAACATTAAAAAATTTCTACGTATATCATTGCAGCCAAATATTAACGAATTACTAGAAAATCACTTTAATGCTATTAGGGCAGGCTATTACAAATAACAACTAATAAATATTGGACTATGACGTCATTATGGATTAATCGTCAATTTCACTAAATCTCTCAGATGGACATTATTTCCCGCAACCGTTCAGTCTTTATATCAACCCGCAAAAATGCTTCTTCTTCTGTCAATCAGAAAAAGGAAACACCGCATTTATTTCGCTAAACTTACGGATCGTAAACCTTCGGAGAATTTCGACCGTAATATTTTCGTTAAACACAACAATAATCTCAGAACTTCAACACTTTCGATTTTCAATTGGAGACCTTCAATAGCAGCAACTCCGCTACCTATTAATATACATATATTTATTACTTCACGGTCTTATTGCTGAAGAACTTTTGACCTACGTTACGAGATTTATTCGTAAATCCAATATTCGACAACACCTCATCCTTTCTACTTACAATCTCTTCGCAAAAGATATCACGCAAAATATATTGTTCCTTCATTACGTTCCAACATGGCATCACCAAAAGATTAAAAAACAAAAACGTAAACGTTATCCAACCATCACAACATACAACTAATACACCTTATGTCAACGCTTATAGCAATGACCGTATGTTCGAAAAACCTCATCAAGACTCCACTTGATAAATTATTTAATCCTGACTGGTGGATAAAGGGTACATCATCTTATAGAAATATATATCACTTTACTTTCTTATCCGATCCGGTACCATGGTTGAACATTTGGGGAGCTTGAAAAGTTATAAAGTGTCCCAACTGGATTTTCTTTCTATTAGTCAAAGACTTCTTTACGAACATGATAAGCAATAAGGCAATTAAAAGCATAATAAGGAAAACTTTTATATAAGATTACAAAATAAGCACAACGGAAGTATATATCACTTTACTTTCTTATTCGATCCGGTTCTATTAGTCAAGATTTCTCTTTACGAATATGATAAGCAATAAGGCAATTAAAAGCATAATAAGGAAAACTTTATATAAATATAAGCTTAAATTAGGACATAATGAATTATCACATTGAAGTTAATTTGTTCGAATGGAATATGAACAGATTATATAAAATAGAAATTTGACAAAGTAAATAAAAATCAATGACAACAACTTAAATTTTAATTATTTATTTATCATTAAAATAAAAGACAAATTTCAAATTTCATATGTACAGTATAAATCTATGCTCATAGTAACAAATATGTAAAAAATCATGTCAATCTGTCATAATTATTGTTTATATATCTATTGTTATGTTAGGTTCCTAATTGGTACTCATTAATAAAAAATATATATCTATTATTGTTATTAGCATCAATAAAATCAGTGGCTTATATTAGTTTGTGCCTGTTATAGGTTGTTAAAAGCAAAAATTAATTACAGTATAAGTTTATAAGCAATATTTGACATAAAAAGTATAATGATTAAACTGTAATAGTCTATATGATTGCAAATATACAATTTTTAGCTGACAAAAAATATCAGTCCGTCAAAATAATATTTTAAAAAGTTATTTTAACTTCTTTAACGGTTCATATATTCTTGTTATGAGTTTTTAAAATTTGGAATTGACCGACAAATCACTTGGCTAAATAATTCGAAAGCGTGCGATAATCAAATCGTAATGATTTAATGATTTATTTCATAGTAGCCATGTTCATTTCAATTTTGATTGGGCTGATCAGTTTGTACAACGCAACCATTTTCTGAACTTTATAGCCCAATTTTTCGGGGGTTTTTTGGTCGAACACCAAAAATAACCAACCAAAATTAGATAATTTCTGTTTACGTGACATTTAAGAAAAAAATATATATCAATAGAAGGAGTTCGAACTAAATTTCCATCTAAAGCAGTTCAATTTGCGATCGAAAATAAAAAAATTTTATTGGATAATTTTTGTAAAACAAAATCCGACCGAATAATGCAACCGACCGGAAATGAACAGAGTACTACTCGATGATGTCATGTCTGTCACACTTTGATTTGACCAATCAGATTTCAAGTTCAGGTGTAACAAATATCATGTGAATTTGGCTGGATATATTTTTTCCAACTAAAAAAATCATACGAACAAATAAAAAAAAATGATTATATTACAGCAATGGCCTTTGATCCGACCGATCCGACCGATCCGACCTAAATGAAAAATAAATAGGAATATTAAAAAAGTACTCGGACATCCCAATATTGATGATCATTTGTCGATCATTTGCCGATCATTTATTCAATTATAGTCTTATAGATCAATTTACATAATATATGTTCAAATTTCACAAATAACTTAAATTTATTGCATATTAAATTTCATTAGATTTGGATTGTTACTGAGCGAGTAACTTTTATTAGTAGCAACTTTTTAGCTTTTATTATTATTCTGTATGTTTATTAATAAATATCAGATATTTATTTTTATCAAACATAATTGACTGTCTTTACATAAAATTGATTATTTATACTTTGTGGTTTATTTGGCATACATTTATTCTGTGGCATTGGTTTATTTGCCATATATATGTTACTAATGAAAAACCTACATTATGAATCGGATCACTGCATTATTTTTACCATATATTATATATGATATAAAGAAAATTTGTGCAAAGTTTCAAGTTTCGCCTATGCATATTCATTTTCGCCCATCAATTTTTGTCCTGATGATTGGCAAAAATGAATGAATTATCACATGCAAATAATGCATTATGACAATATCAGATATTAAAAATTAAGCTAGTAATCACATAATTAAAATTATATGATAATGTAGTGTTTTAACTTGGATTTCCATTATTTTTTTGCCACATTATTTTGTGGCTGTTCAATAAGTTTTGGTTGGTAAAATGATTGGCAAGGTGATATAAGCATGTCCGCTATGCACTGCTGGCTTTATTATATCGAAAAAGCGTAATGTAAATCTAAAATATTATTTTATTCAAATTTAGCATCATTGTGAAAAGAATTATCTTTTTTACACNGAAATGTCACGACGTGATAAATTAAAACAAGTTGAAAATACTATGGCATTATTAAATTTGACGAAATGTGCCAATACGATAATAGGAGACCATATAACTCGTGGTGTATCGGGAGGAGAAAGAAAACGAGTCAACATTGCATCTGAACTGTTAACAGATCCAAGTGTCATTTTACTAGACGAACCAACATCCGGTTTAGGTGAATAATCAAAAGATAATTCGAAATATTCGCTTCATTTTTTTTTATTAATTTCTTACTCTAATTTCATTATCAGATTCTTCATTGGCTCTTGAGATTACAACAATTCTTAAAGAATTCGCTGTTAAGCAAAAGAAAACCATTATTATGGTTATCCATCAACCTTCATCTCAGTACACATCTAGATGTGTATAAGAGACAGATTCGAAATATTCGCTTCTTTTTTTATTAATTTCTTACTCCAATTTCATTATCAGATTCTTCATTGGCTCTTGAGCTTACAAAAATTCTTAAAGAATTCGCTGTTAAGCAAAGGAAAACCATTATTATGGTTATCCATCAACCTTCATCTCAAGTATTTGAATCTTTCGATAAATTAATGTTAATGGCTGATGGACATATGGTCTATTTTGGTGCTGTCTCTTATACACATCTAGATGTGTATAAGAGACAGCAATTATACCGCTACTATTCTGTCTCATCGAAAAAAATAAAGACTTCCCTCTAATTAAAAAAAATCGTTCAAAAAAAAATTCCAATGGAACAAATTAAATACGATCCGACTGAAGTCGATTCTGAAAAAACATCGGTATTTATTTGTCTTTTTTTTTAAAAAAAAAAAATAAATAAGATAATTAAATCGATAATCCTTTCTTTTTTTCTTTTTTTAGAAAAAATTAGATATTGATGATCCATTAGAAAGATCAGCAAGACGAACAGAATTAATACAGAGTACTGAACAAGGATCAATATCCGCGGAGAAACCTGCTTGCGTAGAATGGCATGGAATAAGTTATTCTATATATGAAGAAAATAATGTATCCCGGTGGGATAAAATTAGAAATTCTGATTCTAAATTAGAATCTGGTAATCACGTACGAAAAATAATAGAAAATATTCATGGTTGTGCTAATCCAGGTAACTAATTTATGAATTTTGTAAATATATATTTTTTAAAAAAATAATAATCTTATTTAATTTAAAAATAATTTAAAAGGTGAGGTTCTCGCGATCATAGGACCTTCTGGTTGTGGTAAAACCACTTTGTTAAATCTTCTTGGCGATCACGTTGGAAGTAAAGGAGTTCAAGGAACTATAACTCTAAATGGTCATAAAATAACAAAAAATTCAAAGAGATTTGTTGCTTATTGTACTCAAGATGCAATCTTTTTCTCTCATTTAACCGTAAAGGAAACTCTCAGTTACACTGTAAGTAACGTCGACAGAACGTCCAAAACTGAAATACTGTGCCATCGTTCTTTACTTTTATGTCGATACTTTTTTTTTATATATTAGGATTAAATTTTTTTTATTTACAAATTTAATAGGCTCGATTACGTCTTCCACGTGAAGTGCTACGACGTGATAAATTAAAACAAGTTGAAAATATTATGGAATTATTAAATTTGACGAAATGTGCCAATACGATAATAGGAGACCATAAGACTCATGGTGTATCGGGAGGAGAAAGAAAACGAGTCAATATTGCATCTGAGCTGTTAACAGATCCAAGTGTCATTTTATTAGACGAACCAACATCCGGTTTGGGTGAGTAATCAAAAGATAATTTTGAAATATTCGAAATATTCGCTTCATTTTTTTTTATTAATTTCTTACTCAAATTTCATTATCAGATTCTTCGTTGGCTCTTGAGATTACAAAAATTCTTAAAGAATTCGCTGTTAAGCAAAAGAAAACCATTATTATGGTTGTCCACCAACCTTCATCTAAGGTATTTGAAATTTTCGATAAATTAATGGTAATGGCTGATGGACATATGGTCTATTTTGGTGAAAGAGCTGGTGCAGTGGATTACCTTACTGATCAAGGATATAAATGTCCCCCTAATTTTAATCCTGCTAATTATGCATGTATGTATTATTTATTATTATAAATATTTATATTATAAAATTTAAATAAATATATGCAACATTATAACGTTTTTCTTTTCATTATAGTGGAACTTTTAAACGATAATACAATCAAGCAGAAATTAATAAATGCATATACACATAAAACTCGTGATGATCCAACAGGAAAACAAGTAGTCGAAAAGTATTCTCGTAGAACGCATGATGATGATCAATCCAAATTAAATGCACCGGTTACAAGTGAACGTCGTTGGGAAGCTACATTTTTGCAACAACTCTCGATTCTTACCGAAAGAAACTTTAAACAAAGTAAAAAAACTATGTTATCAAGAATTAGTATATCTATAGCTATTACTTTGACTATATCTTGTATCATAATTTGGTTTCAAATTCCTTTCGCTGAACCTAATATAGATGATCGTATTTCAAATGTGAGTATCGATGATATATTTTTTTTTTTTTTTTTTTTAACTTCATTTATTCTATTTATTCTAAATTTCTATTTATTTTTATTATAGATTTTCTTCGGTAATATGGATTGGATATTCCATGCATTTGGTAGATCAGTATTATCTATCCCGTTGGAATTAGACATGTTAATGAAAGAACGTCAATCACGATCTTATCGTTTACTATCATATTACTTATCCAAACAAATCGCCGAATTACCTTTAGTCTTACTTAATCCTACATTATATACTATTCCAGTATATTGGGCAACAAATTTATTACCAGATTTTGGTAGATTTGTAGCTTATTTAGTAGTAGTTTTACTTAGTGCAATAACTTCCCAGAGTTTCGGTTATTTATTTGGTGCCACTATATTGAACGTACAAAAAAGTATATGTAAGTATTATTTTAAATATTTTGATCTTATAATTTATTTTTAACTAATTGAATTTTTTTTCCTATCGAATATAGCTGTTGGTTTGGTATTTATGGTTATAGTTACGTTATTAGGTGGATTTTATGTAAAACAATTACCAACTGGCTTAACTTGGTTAAAATATCTTGTAAGTAGTTACGATAAATCTGAATTTTGTTTTCAAACCAATAATATTAACAATTTTCTATCTCTATTAATAGTCATTTCTAAAATACTCGTATTCTTTGCTTATGCAAATTCAATTTGATTCACCGAAAGCTCAATTTAGATGTGCTAGGCCAGGAGAATTACCTGCCGGAAAATTAAGTATGTGTAACGCAGGAGATAATACTCCAATGTCAAGTATTCCCGGTATTTCTATAATAGAGAATCTAGGATTAAATGAATTACCTTGGTATGCTAACCTAATAGTATTATTAGGTTTCTGTATTGTAGTGCGTGTTCTTGCTTATTATCCATTACGTAAAAACAGTAGTAGAGACTAAGAAGAAGAATAATAGCTATTATAATAGAATACTCTACTTGTATAATTTTGAATCATATCTGATAATGCTCAAGTGATAATTGACATCATTCACCTGTATCGCTACAATCAAGTCTTCCTTTTTTTCATTCTTTTAATCTAGAAGTAAATTTATATAACCACAATAAATTATATATATTATAAAATTTTTATAATTATTTGACATATACGAAATCATTTACTTGATGCATAAAGCAAATTTTTTTGGTGTGATTTTTTTTCTCGATTTGCAATCATGCTATTACGAAATTGTTCAAAAATCACAGTTATGATATCATCCCAATTGAAGCGAAAATAAATTTCTATTCTATTCCAAATTACAGTATTGTTGTTATAAGGATAAATGGTCGTATAAGGATGAAATCGGATAAAAAGATTACCGAATTCCGATTATAAGTTGTGCTTACCATAACACCGCAGCATAATCCGATCAATGATCTACAGTAGATTCAAAACAAAAATATTTTATAATGATAATAGTAAAATATATAAATAAAGACAAAAAAAATTCTGGAAAAAACTCCGATAAATGATCATTTTTCTAGTTTTTATTCCGAAGAAACTCGGACACGTGATCATTTTCTGAAAAAATTTTTATAGGGAATATAATATAGATTATAAATATTTGAAGTTTTAAAAAGAAAAAAAAATCAAAAAAAAAATCAAACTGAAAAAAGAAAAGTTCCAAAAAAATATTTCGGTTTTAGAAAAGACCAAACGAAATAGGAAGTTGAAAAAAAAAATTTTTCAGGTCTGAAAAGGAAAGTATTTTTTAAATAGAGAATTTAGTTGATTTAAATTATATAAATAATAGAAATATTGATAAATTATAACTTATACCCTATAGTATTATTAATCATATTAATCATTAATTAGTTGGATATATATATAATACAAAAGTATATATTGCAAATTAAATATATCACTTACAATCTAATATTTAAATAAAGAATATATAATTAGTTGAGTTATACCAAAATATTAAATAAAAAAATATAATATTATTAAATATTGTAACTTACCATCTGTAATATAATAAATTATTGAGTAGTTACTTAAACAAAAATTTAGTTATTTGAATATTGTTTTAAGAATTTAAATAAATGATAGCCTACTAACTATAGTATTATTAATCATTAAAATAATATTTTGTCATGGATTATAACAAAAATAATTAATTCCATTACTATTGAATTATAAGAACCCTATTAACTTACGAGCTAAATCATTTAAATATAATTTTTAAAAAAGAAACATAATTTAAATTAATGAAGTATTACATTATTACATAACAATAAAGTAATATAATAATAATTAATATTCAGCTTGTTTAATTTATTATATTTACCTTCAGATTCCTCAGTGCTACTTGGAACTTATTGCAATTTGATAAAAATCTTAGAATGATTCTAATTTGTATTAAATATCATGTTATATGCTTTTTACCTTCATCACTATTGTGAGACATTATTATATTATTGTATCAAAAGATTCTCCCTAATTGAAAAAGATAATGTCAGTTTTTTTTAATTAAACGCCTTTATTATATTAATGGAATATACATTTATGCAATGTTGATCAAACATTACACAGATAAATTTTGTATTGTGGCACAGCAAAATTAAAATTTACTTAATAATTAGTCCGAAGTGTAACGAAGGACTATATTACTTATATCTAGTAATTCCCAATTATATTGCTCATCACAAGAACTGAACCTATGAACCGTCACTTAAGACTTAATACCAGTTTCCGTTTCCCTTAAAGTCTCAGTATTAGCATCATAGTATTGTGATTTGTGAACAAAATTTACAAATAATTCTGTTGTCTTGATCAATTTTTATCTCAAAATATTGAAAATATTAAAGGACGAGAATATCTATCCATAATTCGACCTTGAAGTTTCATGTTTTTTTTATTACTTTTCATAATTTGAAAAGAGAAATCTGACGAACTTTTATCTAAAATTTTCATAAATTATTTCTGCCTTGTTTGAAATTTTAACAAAAGTAACAAGGAATTATCAGAGAAGAAAGAGTAGACATTTTTATGTAGAATTCTTACATTTTCATTTTTAAAAATACGGCGATTTACACAGTGAAATTTGATAAACCGGATCTATCAGTTCCACTAAAAATATCCGGTTTATTGGGATATCCGGTATATCGAAATTTAAATTTCGATATACTGAAAATCTATTATACTGAATTTAAAATTTTCATGCTAAATTTAATTTTTTCATCTTAGTTTTAAGTCATAGAGTTCATGAAAAATATTTTTAATTGAAGATATAAGTAATACATAACTTCAGCCAGAATTAAGATTTTTATAATTCTGGCAAAAATTAAGATTTACCGCATCACGTTACTTAAATTTTATTGGTTAATGATCACGTGATACTGGTTATCGAATCATTTTTACTATAGCTAGTTAGAAAATTGATCCGTTATAGAGCTTTTACTAGTAAATTCCGAACTATTTTAATATACAGTGTGGGACAAAAAAAATGAGAATTTTATTTTTGATCATTAACGTTAAATTATAATAGAAAAACGGGTGAAATTTACTGTATTTTAAAGCTTAAGATCAGCTGATTTTATTAAAAAAAAATTTAATATTATACACATTCGCCATTATTTCAATAATTAACTTACAACTTCGTCTAGTTGACTTTAAAATATCGATTAGAACGATTTTTAGAGTATTTTGGCATTTCTCCATCATAAATTCTTCCAAATAATTAAAATTTTTTTGGTATTCACTTCTCCGCCTTTATTTTTGTGATATCCAATAAATTTCAATAGGATTTTGGTCGGGGCTATCTCATGACCACCCTGAAACTTCTGATGAATTTTCTTTTAGACTGAGCTTAGAAAAAATGACTATTATGCATGGTAGTTTTCTTATTGGAAATACCAACGAACGACTACAAAGCATCCAGAAGATCTCAGAAGCACATGTACAAAAAATTTCTGCATAAATCTCGATGTTCATAATTTGTCTGAAACAAAATAAACTTGCTTTTCCCTTCACAAACAACCGCCCCACGCCATAATTTTTTATATAAGTACAACAAACAAATCTTTCCTCTTTATACTAATATTTAACAGTGTTACTAAAGAGTTGCAAGGCTGATTTATCAGCAGATAAAATTTTTTTCCATTGGTCATAATATTATTTTATGCCCACTCTACATGTCTTTGCTTGTGTGCTTCAATTAACATAGGAGTTGCTTTGGGAAGTTTTTTTTTACATAACCAACACTTGAAAGATGACTTCTAATTGTTCTATATTATACTTTTCACCTGTATTTTTCAAATTTCTTGCTAAAGTTCTTGTAGAAAAGGATGTATCATGCCTTACATATTGACTGAGTGTATGGAATGCACTGTGGTAATTTTTTTTTAGGTCTTCCATTCCCTCTAGGATGCTCCAAAAACTAGTTTTTTTCGATTTTTTTTGTTTTTATAAATTGTTGACAATAAAAATTACATGGGGTTGTGTAATTCTTTAATATTATATATACCATTATTTTATAAGTCTAATAAGAATTTATTATAGGTTTTTCCTTTTGCGCAAGTCATTGTTTTGGAATTTCTCACGAAAATAAAGGGTGTTGATGGACGCAAAGACAGTCAAACGTAGTCACAGATGTAAGATTTATTATGTATTTAAGTGGTACAAATTTAGTTTATTTTTGGCGATGTAGATCATCTTTTACTCACGTGATCACTTTTCTCATTTTTTTTGTCCCACACTGTACGTGATTTGGTTCCAGCAAAAAAGTCCGGTTTAGGCCCAAATCCGGTTTATCGAATTTTATTGTGTATTTATAAGTATAGGATTTTTTTTGAAAACAAAAAGATCATTTTTTATATTTCTTTTAAGAATAGATGTTTTAAAAGTTTAACATGAATTTCGTCATGATATTATAGCCCGCAGTAACTGCAAAAATTGTATTACACGTTATTTCATTTTAGGACATGACATCATAGTCATCATATTTTATGTGTAAAATGCACATTCAAATTTTGGATATGTAAAACATGTAATTTTTGTATTTCATATTAAAAAGAGATATGCGGATTTTGAAAGCTGTAACAAATTTGATATATGAAAAAAGTACGATTTTATATGCAGATTTTGTACGGTTGCAAGTATTATAAGAATGTTAATTTTTTGTCATACCTTTGCTTAATTATAAAAATTATATGTTACTGTACAAAAAAACATATAAATTGTCTAAAAAATAAAATCTATAGAATTAATAAATTATAAATATTTTTAAAAGGATTTTTATTAAAAAATTAAACGTTCAACTTTACGTACATCGAAGGTTAACATTTATGTCACATGATCATGCGATGGCTGTGTTTCAATGATTCATTTATGGGTAGTGAAAAAACATGCATAATATATATAATCTGTCATGTGTTAGTGATAAGAGTGAGTCTCCTCCAATTTTAGTAATAAAGTATGAGAATAAAGAATTATTTATTTTTAACTTGTTTTTACTTCATTTTTGATTTATGATTTATTAACGTTAACTTTTATTTTTTTTTTTTAATGTTAACTTTCTATTTTTTATCATTATGTGCAATAATGAAAATATACTTATTTAATAATCTAATTAATTCATTCATGAAATTTTTTTATTAATTTTATTCAAATCTTAAAATAATAGGAAGATATGACGGAATATATAGTACAAAAAAAATGAAGAAGCTATTATAAATACAAAAAGATGAAAGATTGTAGATAGTTTGTAAAGTAAATGCATCTATTTAATAATTTTATATAAAAAAAACATTTTAACTTTTGTTTGAATTTTTAAGCTAAAGGATAAAGAAAACTGAAAAGAAAGCAATAGCAAAAGAGCAAAAGATCAGAAAAAAGAAAGAAGGGATTTAATTGGGATAATTTATTTGAAATATTGATTAAATCATCACCGGCTAATTTGTTCAGAATTTAATTATTATGACTATGAAAAAAACAATTAAATTAAAATCCTTATATCCAATCTTTTATAATTGTAAAATAAACATCTTATGCTTTTACAATTTTATTTTTACAATAGTAAGTTAAAAATAGAAGGATATAAAGTGAATGGAAATTAAAAAAATTTGACTATTATAGCGGGAGGAGACGTTCTACATACTGTATGTATATTTTATTAACATCATGATGAAACGGTTGAAACGTTGCAATATGAATTCAACTGCGCTACAATGTCGTACTCCAAATGTACACCTTATACTTGAACATTTTTAATAAAAAAAAACGCAAAATGTTAAGCTAAACAATGATAACCTTTAATTAATAATAAAAGAAATACAATATAATAAAAAGACATTTCATTCGCTTCTTTTAGTTAAAAGAAGAATTTTATATGAAATTATTGGTCTAACATTTATAGGAAATCCCTGCTTGGAATCCCTTAAAGCACCCAAAAAAAGTTATAAACATAATTTTTGATGAATTAAAGAAATAAATTAAAGAAACTTTGATTTTTCAACTTACTTGTATAAAAAGACTTTTATTTAGTTAGTAGACAATTGGATTTAAATAATTTAAATAAAATTGATAGAATAATTAATCCTATTGATAAATAATTAAAAAATATTCAATATTTTTATTAATGAAAATACAAAATTTACACATCTTTACATATCTCAACAATTTGAAATCCAAATATATCTTATTCCCGATCCAGAAAGATTTATTCCAAATATTAAATTCCCTTATAAGTTATGATGTTTTAGATTGGTTAAAAATTAATTAATGAATTAGAGTTTATTGTTGATATGTCCAAAAATAATTACGGTATTGATAATTTCCCTAAAACTTTGGTTAAATAGTATTTGTTATATAAAACAACCATAATAACTTTTTTTTATGATAATCAAACATTTTACAAAATTCTCATTTAAGCGTGCTAAGTACAGTATGGTCCAACCTTAGATTTCAAAATAAAAAAATAAATAAAATATTTTTCGAACGATTTTTTTAAATGTTCGATTCATACATTTATACTGTATAAATTATTTTAAATTAAAATTGGATTGAATTATGACTATATCAAAAACATTCAAATAAATTGATAAATTTTGAAATGTCAAGAAAACTTTTGTTTCTGGAAACGGAATTTTACAAATAATAATTATATAGTATATATTAACTTTAAACATGCATAAGTTTATTAATATATATAAATATATGAATATAAAATTTTTTAAGTCACTTAATTTTATCAGAAGATTACAAGGAATTAAGCTACCAATTATACTGTTATACTATAACTTATAAATAAATAATATTTAATTCACTAAATCATCAACATTACTTTCATCATCAATATCTATAGTGCCTCTTAACTGTATCGAATTAGACACTTCCAAGTCGATTAATTGAGAGTCACAAACTATTTGAAATAATAAAGTTAATAATTATTCAAGTAAAAATAAAATTTTTAAATAAATAGAAAATACCTTCATTATTAACATATGAAGTAATAATGGATGAATTAACGGGTTTTGGTAATAAATTGCTAAATGTAAACGCTCTACTGGTATATACAGCATCAGAATTCTTTTCATACGAAGTTGAGATGTTTGGTATTTCTTTATCAGCTTCTTTAAATGCTGCTTTAATTTCTTTTCCTTTATAACCGTATTGTTCTACTTCATCTTTTTCACCATCATAAGAAGCATCCCAAAAACCAAATATTTTTCTTAATTCTTCGGCTGCTGGTCTTTCATTTGGATTGGCATTCATGCATTTATAAGCTAATTTCTTATAAAATTCAGGAGTTCCTTTTCCAAATTCTGGTCTGAGTCCATTACATATGGCTAATGCTAAACTTAAATCATGTTTTTTATTGTAAAAAGGTGGTTTTCCTGATGATAATTCAGCCATAATTACACCTAGACTATAAATATCGGATGATGATGTATATGGTTCTCCGTTTAAGACTTCTGGTGCAATATATGGCATTACTCCATAAACTTTACCATCAGATTTTTTTTGTTCATTTGCTGGTCCTGATAATCCAAAGTCGGAAATATAAGTAGTACCAATTTGTAAAATATTTCCACTATGAAAATCTTTATGGCAATATCCTAATTTATGTAAATCTCGTAGGTCCGAGAGTATAAACCGTAAATAACTGATTTTACTTTTCCACATAATGTTGCTAAAGTTATTTGAAAGTATACTTCTCAAATTTCCTTTATTAGCAAATTGTATAATCATCATAAATTCTTTAGTTTCTGGGTCTTTAGTTAATCCATAAAATTGTAATCCTTGACTTTTAGAAATTTCCCAATGTATTTTAAGCTATATTTTAATAAATTTAAAATAAAATAATTTAATACTATTAAACACCCAAATGAAATAAATTAAATAAGATACAAAATAGTATAAAAACGTACTTCATTTAAATATTTATCTGACATATTCTGCGATCCATTTAACCTTTTCAAGGCAACTGTGTCAGATATAGGTTCTACTTTTTTCCAACTTCCATCATCATTTTTACTATGCGCTGATTTACCATCAATCCAAGTTGCAGAATATACTTTGGCAAATCCACCTTCACCAATTTCTTTTATGTTTTTAAATCTATCAAATGGTACCCATTCAAGAAATTTATCGACATAACCTTTTTTATTTTTTGCATCATACATTGTATCATACATTGTATCTTTTATAAACTTATCAATATCAGAATTTCCACTGGTCCATCCTTCCATTATTCTAAATAGGTCACATTCTTTACACCATAATTTTTTAGTAAAGGGTCTATTACAATATGAACAATTTTTGTGATTAAAATTTCCACCTGAGATATTTAATTTACTAAATTTGGTTCCCATTAGGTTATTTTCGTAATATAAGTATTCAAAAAAAAGAAAATATTTTTTTTTATATTTATAATGGGTTACTAAAATAGGATATTAAGCGGAATTACTCCGATTATTGCACAATCCGGGTGATCATTTTTCGGGCCGTATTTTTTCCGATTTATTGATCTGCATTACCGCCTTTAATATCATTTTTAGATTTGAGACATCTTCCAAAATTCTTAGTTATAATTGAATAGATTATCGTATAAAATTATTTATAATTTTAAAATTTTTTTTATTATAGTTTATATCAGTTTATTGATGAAAGTATAAACAGTCGTTTGTAAAAATTAAATCAAAATTTGAAATAAAAATTTCAGAAAACTTAGAACCAATTTTCCGTTACATTTCTGATTTAAAACTAATTAATGAGTAAAACTAAATTGGTTATTTTATTTTCTTGAACATAAATATTGTTTATTTATGAATAAATTTGAAATAAAGAATATTCAATTATTATATTAATATATTTTTATGAAAGAAAATAAAAATTACATAATAATTAAAAATGAATTACCAAATTTACACGGGATGTCTAAATCTTAAGTTTTAAAGTTTTACATGTTTATTAAAAATCTCTATTATGATTATATCAGTTGTGTCAATATCATCATAATTTTAGCATTAGTTTTTTTTTTTGCTCTTTTGTTATTTTTTTTTTATTAATACTTTGTACTCTTAATCCTATAACAAAATGTCTATTGGAACAATATATTGTCAACATTTTTCTTTTAAATAATCAAATTTTTGCTAATATTTCAAATTCACTTTTATGTCACTTGATTATTTTATTTTTTTGTTTTATATCGGATATTTTACTTCGGCTACATGACTGATTTTTAAAAAGTTGTCTAATCAAATGATTTTTTATTTTCTGCCCGCATAATAGACTTCTAAATTAAATTTATTAAGGCAATCATCACTTTACTTTAAATGGTAAAGTACTAATATGATGGGACGATACTTAGTAATTGATTTTTGACATTTTATAAGGAATCAATAACAATGGAAACAAGTTTCAAGAAACAATCAAACTTTTTATAGAAGAATTGCCAACAATTGAAACAAATGAAAAATAATTTCTTTTGCCTTCATTATACAATAATTATTTAATTCCTTTATTTCAAAAAGATTTACACACCACAGTTTAACAATATTACGATAATGATTGAAAGCAGAAATAAACGAAATGTTGATAGAAAATAATAAAAAAACCTGAAATCAAATTCAATTAATTTTTTAACATACATATTTCGAATGATATTATTTGTATAAAAAAATAATTTTTATAAGTTCACATTTGGTGTATGAAAGGACGTTGAATTTTTAAAACCTTTAATTTGCTAACGATAGCGTATGTAATATGATGATTTTTAGTAATTACTACAGTCCACACAGTTACATAATTATTAATAGTTATTCGATTTTTCAAAAGAAATTGCGTATTATTAATGTTAATAAAATATCTCTTTTTTACCCATAATATATTAATATTTCCATAAAATCCAGTAAAACATTGAACGAAATTTAAATAATTAAAATGTTGTTAAGCGCTTGAATAGATGAACAAATATCGAATGCAAATGGATAACAGAGTAGAAGCTCGAGTGACGTCAAAATCAATAATATTCAAATCTCTAAAATTCAATGATGATGATGATAAATATATGGAAAAAATACTCACACTCTTCTTGAATTAGTGAAAATCGATGTTGAATATGGATATCCTTCCTAATTAATAAATAATTAATAAAAGTGCGTAAAAATTTTCTTTTTTTAAAAAAAAAAAATAATTAATTATACTTACAAATTAGAATGAATATTAGTCATCCTAAAAAAGAAAAATAATCCACAAAATATGAATATTTTGTAAAATAAAAATGATTTATTGTTGAGAAATAATTATATTTTTATTATAAACAAAATATTTTATTCCAATAATGGATAAACAATCTTCGCGATGTGCTATATTTAAATTTTTAAGCGGTAAGTTGCTTAAAAGCAAATTTCATGAATATTACGAGTAAAAGCAAAATCATTAGGATTAATTTGTTGATATATTTAAATGTTATCAGTTAGTATAAGTCTTGTAGGATCAAGTTACGATAATAAAATTACGTTGTGTAATTTATCATATTAGTAAATAGAGTAGCGAATAGATTTACACAATTAGGAAAATCTAACATTTCGGACGCGCCAACGGTCTCCATTTCCCTAGTATTTATCGAAAAAAAGCTTTACTTTTAGTTGATTAATAAATAACATAACATATTACAATATATAATTTCTATAAATCATCCTAAGCCAACCTATAGTTTAAAGCTCTTTGTAAAAATTCTTCTTGTTTATACATCGTAAATTACATACATTAGTCTCTTAAACAATGCCTTTTTATATTATTATAAAATAGTGAAAAATATTTATAATTCATTATCTACATTTATCAAATTTTAAATCTTTTCCCGTGATTTGATTAAAGACAAGTATTATAATAAGTCGCAAACATGTTTTATCTATTAATAAAAATTTCTTTGTTACCTCATAAATTAATTTTAAAAAAATAACTCGTAAAGCAATATCACGTGTATTTAAGCAAATCATTGGCGTAGTATATGTGTAATGATAGAATAAAAATTGTTAAAAGAAAAAAAATTATGAGATATTTTTATATTACAAAATAATAAATTATAAGAAAAAAAAAAATCAACCCTTTTATTTAAATGAACAGAACGAAAATATATAAATTTCTATTTATAACTTTAATTATTAAAAAAAGGACTATTTATTTTTTCACAACTTGAAATACTTCGTAATCATCAACTTTAAAATATTCTGAATCATGAATTTTATCTGAATAACTTGTTAATTTACAACTTTTTCCGAATATAAATAAATCTCCATTTCCAAATCCTTGATTTTTATCTTCACCATCAGCAATTGCTCGGCTATTTTCAACAATTCTACTCAATACAATTGTAGATGAATTTAAAGTATATGAATTAAATGAGAAAATAAAACTACTTTGTGAATTAAGATATTTATTGGATCCACCCCACTTTATTGGATTATATCCTCCAATAATTTTATTTGAACCTTTTAATTTAATTAAAACAATTGTAGCTCCTTTATTATTACAATTTGAACGAAAATCTTTTGATTCAAACCCATCTTTACTTCCACGTAAAAGCAAATTGTATTCATATCGAACATTTCCGTTAAGTTTTGGTGATTTTTCTTGACCATTATCAATCCAGTATGAAATAAGGTTAAAGTGATTTATTGTAAAAATGGATGAACCAAATACATACTGAGATTTCCTAGGTGGAAAAACTTTTGTGGCCAATTTACAATTTGGAACAACGTAATATAAGTTTAAATCTTCCTCAAGTTCTTTAGGAAGCAATTTACATAGAGGACGAACTTTAAAATAATATTCTTGAGGTGTCATTTGAAAAAACCGAACATGTTGAATGAATGTTGATAGCGTTTCCTTCAAGGTCTCATATTCATTAATACTCCAGGTTGTCATGTCAGAGTTAAGAGTTGAATTCTTTGCAATGCCCCATTTTATTAAATTCTCCCAAATTACGACTTCTTTCATATTTAGATAGTCAAGTTGAATAATTGAAAGCAAAGCATCATCATCTAGTCCCCAAAACTCACTAGAACCAATCAATAATTTAGGTTCTTGACTCATAATATTTTTACAAAATTCTTCAAGCTTCGGAAAAGCTCCTTTATGAAGAGAAATAGTATTGAAGAGTTTAATACCATTTTGTACAATCCAATCATTATTTAAATGATTTGAACTAATGATATGTTGCTGAAGATGTTCAACCAGCTCATAAAGGTTCATCTCATCCGCCGCAATAAGTAAATCAATAAAATTATTTTCCACGTTAGCTGCATCTAACGCAATTGTTCCAGTATAAATATATCTAAAAATAAAGAATAATAAGAAAATTAATAAATGATCACCAGCGGTTGATATTAGCAATTATTTAAAATTTTTATTATTGACTTACTTCAATATTATTTGAAATACAATCCCAGATACATTTGGTTTCTTATAGACGTAAAGATCCCCTTCTTTTTTAGCCCAATTGTTAGAAAATGCAGTACGAAAATAATTTGATCTAGCAATCAAAATAATTGAATGGGCTTTAAATATTTCCGAATTGGAATCTTCTCCAACTTGTATTTTTACATCATAATTATCAGCCTTATCATAAAGATTACTAATATCCCTTAAAAGTGTATTAGACAAAGTTTGCAAAGACATTTTTTTTTTTTTCGATTTATTTAAAAAAAATAAGGGATTTTATACGTATAAAAATAAAGGAGGTTTTATCATTTTTAAAAAAAATTCATTTCCCTTTATACTTATTGTATGTTACCCAAGCAGCTTGTCGATCAACTAATAAAGCTATTGCTATTGCGTTATTGTTTCCATAAATTTCATTTTAATCGGAGTTTTCCGCAAAATGCGCAGTAAGTTTGTGTGATTTTACACTTTTTTTAGGCAATAATATAGTAATCTAATCGGGGATTACCTTACAAAAATAAATCGAGTAAAAAAAGCTTTATAAAGCAAAATAAAAATAACTTTTTAACTCCTTTAACGTAAATGTTTTTATTTATATCAATCCGTTCACAAAAGCGAATCAAGTCACATGACTTGTGTAACGCGAATTATTAATGTTATTGTTGGTATTGTACAATACGATTAAAATCCTTTTGTCATAATTTTAGATTATTGTATATAAATATAACATAATCATAGTGAATTATTTTATACTCTTAGAAGTTAATGTAATTTAAATGTACTGTATAATTTATAATTACGAAAATATCAATAAGCAAAGCAAAAAATAAATGATTGGTGATTCTTT